CAACTTTCAGCATCCTCATTCAAATGGGAGAATTTAAATCTGGCCATAATATTTCAAATTTGAGAGAACTGTACTTGTACTTTAAGGATGTTACTTGTTATAGAACAAAAGGCTTTTTTTTTTCTTTCCTGAAATGAAGATTGTTTCAAAAGTCAATGAAACCCATTTTTCCCCTTGATCTATCATGCATCTAGGCTAAAAAAACATTTCCTGGTTAAAAATATTCCTTAACCAGAAATTGGGGCATGGCATTTTTGTTGTCTTCAAAACTGAGGGTTAGCTGTAAGATAAAAAGCTCTATTTTGTGGAACTTTATGTTAGATATGGAACTTTTGCAATGTCAAATCAAAAAGACTTTTTCCAGGCAACTCTCTCAGAAGTGGATGGAAAATGTGAAGACTCTCTGTTCCTGTTCTCATTGCCTTAAAAAACACGAGCCTCCTCTTTGACCTCTGTGTGACCCTGAAGATGCTCAGAAACAACACGGATATACCAGAGAGTGGGTTTAGTGAACAATAAGAGCCAAATGCAGGGGCTGTCCCACTGCAAGGTTAGGAGCTCAGGGGTTCCCAGAGCAGTGCCACAGGTTCTCCCCTCTTGCCTGAACCCCACATAACAAATTTGGAGAGAAACAGCATCCCTGCGCACAGCTGAAGCATGTGTTTCTCTGCATCTCCAAATTCCCAAAGAAGGAAGCAGCCCTACTCCATGATCAACCTGCTCATGGAATATCATGTGCAAGGGCGTTACTGGCACTGAAATTTTACAGCAAGTGAAGGATACTCTCCTTTTCTGCAGCAATTTTTTATTGGTGTAATTATTAATCTTGCACTCAGAACAGTGCAAAATGTTCTGTAGATAAATAATAATAAAAAAGAGACAGTCTTTCCTTTGCACATTTTTATTTAAACATCTGCAACACATTGTATCTAAGCTGCTTTGCAATTGCTATACATGTACAGGATGGAACTGAAGAGGTGTTGAGGCAACGGTGTCTGCCTGTACTGAGTGACTGGGTGATAAAATAGCAGATGAAATTCAGTGGTGATAAGTAACGTACATGGGAAAAAATAACCCTAACTATACATACACAGACACTGGTTAGAGCTATTGCTTTTGCTGCAGGATGTCTGGAGGTTGAAGTGGAAAGCTCTCTGAAAATGTTAGTGTGGGGCTAGGAAGTGGACAAAAAGGGAAATTGAATGTTAAGAATTAGTAGCTCCCCCCTTAGGTGATGAGGGGACCCCCAAAGTCATAGGACTCTGTCGCTCATATGCTCAGAGTTCTTCTGAGTCCCTTGGTCATACAGCTCTTGCCCATTCCAGATCCAGCAAAATTCAACAGTCATTTTAGTAGAATCAAAGTTTCAAAGAAAGTAGTGTTTTCTAGTAAAATTATAAAGGATAGGGAGGATGGTGATAAATTTTCACACTGGAAATAGAGAAAAGTACATCAGCTTGAAAGTGGGATAGCTGAAGGGAAATCCAATTAAAGTCTGGAAAATAATGATGGTGAGAAGATCAAAAAAAGAAATTTCATTTATTGCCTCTATAACAAAGGAGCACTTAATAAAACAATCAGGAAGAATACTTGAAATTGTTTTTACACAGTGAAGAATTATTACCGCATGGCACATTGTGGAAAGCAAAACCACAAATGGGCTCAAAAAGACTTAAGACAAACTCCTAGAGAACAGGACCACTAGTAGCTACTAAGCATAGTAGCTTCGAAACAGCCCTGAGTTCCAGAAGTCCCTACCTCACTAGTTGCTGGAAAATTATAAGGTAAATAGGAGAAGAATACATAGTCTATTTTTACACTGTTTTACTAAGCATCCAGTCTTGGCTGCTGGAGACAAGATACAGAACTAGATGGATCCAACTGTGTTTTTATATTCTAAAAAAGTAACAGAAACAGTCAAGAGTATGCTAGTGCTGATAGAGTCAACATTAATTTTACTTGCTTTATCCACTCTAATCTCCAGACTCAGCCATTTGCAAGAAATCATAATCCATACCTGGCCAAAGAATTTGGGATTATCCCAGTGAGCAGAAATGTAAAAGAAGCAGCACTCACTTATTGAGAATCTAAGATTTTGAGACATCACTTACTTATTTCTTCTCAAAAGAGAAAACTTTGTCACCAAAGCTCCTGCAAAGGTTTCTGCAGGAGTGAGTCAGTGTTCACATTTTGATGATCAGAAATCAGCATTACATAGGGGGCCAAAGTCTTTTGTTTACAGCACTTTAGTTGTGCTGAAATTCACCATTGTTGTTTCAGTACATTTGAGAGGCCACTTGTGCTTACAGATAAAATCTGTAGATAAGAAGCAGGTGCAGACTGAAGATAATGAGCAGCTCAGGATTTGGATGAGATAGGCTAAGCCTGTGCTCTGAGATATCAGTAACAAAACTCCCACTCTGTTCTGTGGGAGAAGGACTACAGCACTGCTTGCAAATCTTGCAAGTAGCAGCTGTTTTATCACCTCCTTTGGTATCCTTTCCAAAACTTCAGCTTCCTCCAGATTTTGGCACTCTACAACTGCTCGGGTTGTGGGAAGATGCCCACAGGATTTAGGAAGCACAGGGTGCCTACTCAGGCTGCATGGCCTGAATAGCACTGGGGCTAAGTGGGTAAATGGTGTGACTCCAAGAAGGATGTTCTTTCTCTCAGTTGCTCTTACTCTCATTTTCACAGTGCCACTTTTCCATGTTTAAATAATATATTATTTTGTAACCTTTCCTAAGAGAAATCTTTAATGTTTACAACAGGGGATATTAAAAACCTTGCAATTGTTGCTATTCTCATTATTATCTAATTTGAATGATGTTTTTACTGCAAACAGTGGAATTTGGGTTTTTTCCCCCCTTCATCTTAGCAATAATGTCTGGATGCATATAAAAGCCAAAATACTGACTTAGGCATTCCTGATTTTTCCTGAACATGGATTAGCTTGCTTTCATAACTGTAGAGATTCCCATTTTACTACAAGGAAAGTATATGCTAGGGCAACTTCATCACAATGAAAATATTCTTCCCAATATGAAAATATGAAAAAGAATAAAACTTGAGACTGGCTACTGTGAACGAGACACAGTTAGGAGGTATGGGGATAAGAAGACACAAAGAAATTGTATAACACAATGTGGGACAGAAAAAGCATAGCGGATGCTTTTCCTACTCAGAATATTAAAATAAGACAGCATGCAAAGGGAACGCATGTAAATGGAGACAAAGGAAGATATTGTACCAGGTTTAATTCTTAAAACAACAAAAAAAACCCCAACAAGCATATGATTTGATTTAAAACCTGATTAGTTTATATTGCGACATCTTTGGTTTCATAGCCTGCTTTCTCTTCTGCATAGTGCCTAAAGCAATACGATCGTGGTCAGGAGTTCATATTTTAGGTACAAGGATAAAACAACAAGAAATAATAATTACTACTATCAGTTACCTGTTATATATTAAAAAATAAAAGTAGAACCAAAGAAGAAAGCCTGGAAGGTGTCTAAGCCAGACATGCATCAAGGCATGTCAGTCCTTAGTTAATGGGACCAGGAAGAAACTCCTCTGTTCCAAATACAACAATCTACAATGCATTGCTCTTAGGTATTTGCAGAGATGAGGTGGGATACACTATTGATCTCATTCATTACAACAGTTTTTTCTGCTATTATTGGAAAGTGCTGCTTTAAATGGCACACATCTTTTTATATATTTTTAACTAATGGAGAATTATCCCTTCCATGGATTTTTATAGGGTATTTAATAATTATATGGGACTCTTCTAGTTCTCCATTATATTCTATAGATTTTCAAAGCCATCTTTACAGAAACCTATTTACATTTCTGTATCACCCTATTGATTAAATCCCTCTGTATTACATTCCAAACTGAAGAGAGCGCAGAAAATCAGCATTAGCCTCTGACGCTTAGCAGTCTCAGACATACAGCTGGAAGAGAAAAAATAGCCCTTCCTTTAATAAAGCATGCCTTGGGGGCATATGAATGCTTTCTCTTCTTTTTAAAATCATGACCGCAATCAGCCTTTTTCCGCTGTAACCCTGACGTTCCTCAGGAGTCCTACAAACGCACCTTCTGGCTTCATCTGTAATGGTGAGATACACCTTATTCACCTGTTAGTCTGAAGAAGAGATGAACGACAACTGGATCCATTCCAGACGGAGCTCACTTCAAGGGTCAGTTTGCTTTTCGGTGGTCAGAAATGGGAATGGCCGTTGGGAGCTCCGTTCCCCAGAGGCATTTGGGCCCCCTACAAAATCACCACGGGGGGGATTAGGAGGTTTGTCACTAAAACCATGGCAAAGTGTGCTGGCACTCTGTGGGCATCCATCCCACCCCACCTGTCCATCCCACTCCACCCCATCCCACCTCTCCCCTCCCCTACCCCATCTCACCCCTCCTCGCTCCCATACCATCGCACATCTCCCGACCCCATCCCACTTCACCTCACCCCACTTCATCCCACTTCACCTCACCCCACTTCACCTCACCCCACCTCACCTCACCTCAGGGCAAGGGGGTCGACACCCTGAGGGAGGGAAACTTTGCCACGCACTAGTAACGAGGGCAGAAACCGCTTCCTGGTTCCTACCGCTCCCTGGGTGCCGGGGGAGACGCGAGACCCCCCCCCCGGCCCACCCGTCCCCACACGAAGCAGGGAACGCCGCGGCCCCTCGCCCCCACCGCCCACCCGGGGAACCGAAATCGGGCGCGCAGCGGTGGGAGGTGAGGGGCGCGGCCAGAGGATGGAGGAGGCGGGGACACGTCGCTCCTCACGTGCTTATTGGTGGGTCCCGCCCGCTCGTTTGGGCGGAGGGGCTCGCTGATTGGGTTGCGGCGTCCCCTCACTCCTCCCGCCTTGTCCTCCACCTTCGCCTCAGCGGCGCGGGCAGGCGAGAGGTGCGGGGCGCTCGCTGAGGAGCCGGCGGCGCGGTCCTCGGGGCTCGGCGGGGGCGACCACAGGGGAGGCGGGCGCGGAGGCGAGGGACGAGCGAGCCGCAGCAGGTAAGGGCAGGGCCGCCGCCGCGAGGGTCTCCTTCCCCGGCGGGGCCGCCCTGTTGCAGCCCTGCCCCGCCGACCTGGCGCCGTGCGCCCGCCGTGGCGGGGTTATGTAACCGCCCCGCCGGCTCTCCCTGCGGCGCCCGCCGTCCTGCTCCCTCCCCGGGCCCCGCTCTTACCTCGGGGTTCCTTTCACCCGTGGCTTTTCGGACGCGGAGGGGGGGTCCCGGGCTTCCCCGCGGACGCCCGCCCGCCCTCCGGCCGGGGTCGGTTCCCGCCGTGCAGCCGCGGGCGGGCGGCTGGCGGCCGGAGGAGGTGTGCGGTGAGGGAGAACGTGGTGTCGGCTCGTCCTCCGGGGCAGGTGGTCGGTCCGCCGGGGGCGGAGAGGGGCTTGGTGAGGGGAGGGAGCATCCCGGCGTGTGGGGCAGGCGGAGGGGAGGTGGGAAGGGGGTTTTTCCGCAGCCGTGCGGGGAGCGCTGGCTGTCGGCTCGAAGCGGGTGGGCGTTTGCAGGGATGCAGACCTGTCCCGGCCACTTGCAGAACTTCGGGCTGGCGCGCAGGAATGCGGTGAAGCCCGTATCCCTGGGAGAGACTCTTCTTGGGCTGATTTAAGGTTAGCTGCAGCATCCCGCACCGATGTTGTTTGATGCTTATGTAACAGGTAGCTCTCCAAAGTTGCTGGTTTGTTTTTTTCCCCACCTTTCCTAGATTCTTTTGTATCTCTCCAAAATATTTTGGTCCCTTTCTTGCTGGAGTTTAATCTAGTTTCCTAAAAGGAAAATGCAGGATAGGTTTATACAGCTGAAAGAATTCGTACGAATGAGAATGCTTTACATGAGCTTCTGTGTTAGGCTTTCAAGTCCTGCACTTAAAAATTGGTTTGCTCTTTGTTGTTTACCTAGTTAGGATAGTTGCTCTGGAGGAGGAGAGGGAAAAACTCTTTTTCTATGAAAATACATAACTACTGTAAAGAAACTGCTGCGTTTATTCTTGCAGTAAAACTACATTACATGGTTACACATCATTCCTGAACACAGGGAAGTCTGAACACTGTGAGAATATAAAACAATCAGAAAAACTACAAACACATCACAGTAAAGAAGGACAGAAGATTTTCTGTAGACTATCGACTTTGTTAACTAGTAACTGCTGGTACCTGTCTTTTTTTTTTTTTTAACAGCAGGAACTGTCCCATTCTCCTTAAACTTCTGAGAAGTTGTCCTAGCTTGTCCTCTTCCAAATATTGTAGTGTGTATTCAGATTCAGTGTCTTGGTTTGCTATTGTCTGTATTGAAAATGTTTGTCATTGCATTGGTGTCCTTAATGTTTTTTAAGTTATAAATTACTTGTGTGTACCAGCAGAAAATCCTTTTCAAGGAAACTTTGAAACTATATTCCAAGTAATCATGGTGTCTTGAGTATCTTCTAGGAGTTAACACTGTGAACAACTCCTGTTGCACATAGCTCTGACATATATGGTTTCTTCCTTTTTTCGTCCCAACAGGGAAAGGGAAAGTAGGTCTTGGTAAGTATAGGGGTATGGTTATGAATTTTACGTTACAAGCTAGAGGGCTATTAAATGAGTGTTCCACTGACCCCTGTGTGAGGTGACAGATCTGGGTGAAGGCCAGTGATGTTGTAATACTGTGTGCCCCTTATAAAACTGGTTCGCTTTAAATAGAGTAGCGTAGAGGCCAAGTGAAGGTAATCAGAAAGCTTGTTCTGTTCTGGATTCTTTGGGTTTGGGGATGGTTTTTTTGTTCTTTTAATACCTTAATGTTACCATGGTAACTTTAGCGGTTGATTAATCGTAGCTCAGCTGCTTGATCTTAAGAAAAGCATGTAAAATCTTCAACCCTGGTGTTGGTTGCTCAAAGTATCATCTTCCTATTGTGGGATGGGGCTGGAGTCTTGGCTTAGTAGGGTGGAGCACCAGTGTCTGCTGGCTTGTTTTCTCCAGGGCTGGAGATACTGATTGCTTAGCAAGCCACAATGCCAACTGAGTTTCTTTACTGGTCATAGGATACATCCCTGGCATGGGAGGCACAGCTGAGCCTTCTGAGCAATATGCAGGTCTTGAATTGCTTGAGCTGGCCAGCCCTGCTTTAGATGAATAAAAGTGAATAATAGTCCCTTTGGATGCTAAAAGCTTCCAAAAATAGTTACAAAGTCTCAGCTAAATTTAATACGGCTAGAATGTCAATGGAAAGGATTAGAACACTTGGGATTTGCACCAGTTAGCATTTAAAAAAAAAAAAATCCTCTTCCTCATATCTGCCACTTCTGTAAGAGGCATAGTGGAGATTGACACTGTTTTTGTGTGGTGCTAACCAAATTGGAGTTAAAACGTGAGTGGACTTCACTGTACTGGAAACCTTTATTACTGTAAAGGGAGTAGTTGTTGTCCAGGTGGGAGATGCAGAGGTGAAGGTTGAAGGAAGTGGTGACTATAGTCTATATGGCCTTTGAGACTGCAACAGTTCATTAATCCTGTTAAACAAGGTCCTGTTCTGCTTTTTCTAAGTAAAACGTCTCCATTTAAGTCCATGGGAGCTTTCCATAACGAAGAATTAGCACCATATAAAAATAATACTAATCTCCAGTGTTCATTTTGCAGAATGGAGTGAAATCTCAGCAGGCTACTACTATGTGAACTTCCCTGTTACACTTGTGCCTTCTGCCAAAGTCTTCAGTGTGGGTCCAGTTGACTTCAGGAGTTGTTGTATCCTTAGGGTAACGCTACAGAAATTGGTGAGACTGCTTTCATTGTCAGTGACTATTTTAAGTAAAAACTGACTGTTTCAATAAAATCTTACTCAGTGGGTTTGATTCCTCCCTGTGCTGCCCCCCCCCCCCTTGAATTATGGTAAAACTTGCTGTTTGGGGCTTTGTTGGTTTGTTGGTTTTTTTTCAGTAGCAGCAAAAATGGAATCCCTGCACTTTTTCTGGACCCTTCTAGAAAAACAACTGCTACTTTTTTCTTGCTTTGTGTTTTTCCCAAATTTTCTTAATTCCTGTAGATTACTGTTTCTAGGTTTGCACTCAGGACTCAATAATACTTTGAGTTTATAGTGATTATATTTAAAGCTTCTATTTGTAACATTTTGTTTGCTTTATTCTATTTTTAGTCATGTTGTTTGTCATGGCAAGCAGTGTTTAATAAAAAAAAGCAAAGTTTCCTAGGAATTTCAAGAGATATGTGCCTGTTTCTTGATGTCCCACAGGGACTCTTTTTAAAACTCTTAAGACAGGAAAATGGTCACCAAAGAAATGCATTATTAGTTTCCATAAAAACAATGGATAAATCTATATGTGCTTGGTGATACATAAGGCATTGATCCATTCAAGTGCTTCATGTGCTCAATTTGTATTCATTCAGCAAAATTTCAGCTGCAGTTCTTTGCTCTGTAGGGGTCTAACTTCATAACAAGAGGAACATATTTGCCCTTCCAGTTTTACACTAAAAAAGTAATACTTTTTGATAACAATTTTTCACATAGAAACTTCAGTAAGCTATTGCTATTTGCCAGTGAATGTAATTTTCTGCTGATCTCTGTTAATTTTAATTGGAGGTGTGCCATGTCTAAAAATAGTGAGGTAACAGAATGAATACATAGCTCCCACCTGGAATCTCTACAGAGCTTTCAATTACAGTATCTACAGGGTTAAACACTGACATGACATAGTCTGTTCCAGTGGGAAGGATGTTTGCTTCGTGTTTTGAACTGTGGCAAATTACAAGCTCTTGCACCCCTTGACTACAGGAGGAGAAATTTGAAATAACAGATATCAGTGTAAAGTGATACAAATTGTGTGTATGAATTGCACAAAAGAAGTGACGAGGAGATTCCACATAGGGTCTGGAAGGGTAGTGACTGCTATGGTTTTCCAAGGGTTAATAGTACTGCACTCTTGGGGTACTCTATTCTATGTAATGTATTTTCTGACTTGGAAGTTTAGGGTCAAAACCCTACACCAAATTCAGAAATAACATAGGAACATGGATTACATATGGGTGAACTTTATTTAAAAGGGATAAACAGATGTGAAAAGCAGTCAGCATTAGCTGGAGGTTACATGAACTTGCGCTCAGGTTTGTTTATGTCTCAGTATCTCAGCCTTCTAAAGGGAACAGTCCTGCTATGGAGTTTACTAGTGTGGTCCCAGGTAAGATATTGGTGAATGAATTTAGCATCGATATTGGTGCTGGATGATGCCTTAGTGTTACTGTATTTTTTTTTTTTTGTTTGTGGCGTTGCCACTTCTGAAATTCTGTATGACAACTTCTGGTATTTTAAGTATTTGAAAAATTTCCTGATTTGGGAATGGAGAAGTAAATGCATAGGTCACTTTGAACTCATTACATTTTAAAAGTAAGATGAGTACAGTTTACTCTTATGTGGATGTCTTTCTGTTTTTTCGATAATATAAAAGGGACCATACGAAGGGGGAAGCTAACTTTGTCAGAAGCTGTGGAAAGGAGCTTTAATATAAAAGGGAATGTGATTCAGTGATTGTATTATAGTTACATAAAAGATGACTTTGAATTGAGTTTATTTTATATGGCAATCCAGTTCATGGATTATGCATGATTTAGAAGTAATTGTTTTAAGGTATTTGAAGGGTAAATTCTTTTGTTCTATATTAGCAAAATAATTGGAAAGAATATTTTTTGACAGCTTATTGCCTGAAGTGGCTAAGTAAATTCAAAGAAGCCACAAAACACTACCAACAACAAAACACCTGAGCCTTAAGGTGTTTGTCAGACATAATAAAGGATATGTAGTTACAATTTTTTATGTATATGTGTAACATTATTTATAATGAAGAAAAACATTAGATTTCCAGCTCATAACTGGTTGAAGGTAACTTCTGATACTGTGACTTATTATGAAGTTCATGCAGAGCTGTGAAAACTCAGATTATAGTTTCATGAATGTTTTAAGTAGGTTTAGTTGCTGAAAAGTACAATTGTAACCTTTGCTGTTGCCAGTGCATTCCCAAACTTTGCCCCCTTTTTTTTTTTTTTCCCTGGTTGCTACAAATATTTATGTAGCCATGAAGTGAATCAGTCAGGTCAGTTATCTACCTAATGGAGTTAAACCCAAACTTTTTTCCTTAGGCCTGGTCTTTTCTTTTAACGGAATCAGTTTGTGCAGTTGTGCCATGAATCCGAGCAGGAGATGCTTTCTCCACTAAAAAAGGTAGCATGGGGCCTGTCTCTGTGTAGGGAAGTGTCTGGTGTTGGAAGTGAGAAGCCTGAGGTGCACGACATAATGTTGCATCTTTTGGCAGAAGTGCTAGTTTGTCCAGTCAGAGTCTGAACTTACAGCCCAAGGGTTTGAAGTGTGCTAACAAATGTTGATTCAAGTATGTTTGCTCTCTCTGATTACCATTGAGCTCAGGCTTATAGGCAGTTTATTTTTTCTTGGGGAACATATGTCTTTTATTAGTGAGATTTCCATTTTAATTGTGGGGCTGGGCTTAATATTGTGCGGTACATGGCCCTTGTATAGCAAAGTAAAATTTGTGAAAAAATAGTTATTCCATACAGATATTCTCAGCTGTTCAGGTCCCATCTTAAATTGGGCAGAGGATTTAATAATCAGGGTATTGTAAGTTGACTTGCTAGTGGAGGCAACACTGATCAGAATTCTGGGTATATCTTAAGTGTAGAAGAGGCTTGTGCATGTATACACATCTACCTACAAGTCTTGAAAAAAAGATGGTCAAAAGCCATGTGAGACAGTGACTTTAAGAAGACTTGGCTAATACCCAAATCCCGCTGAGCAAATCTCTCTCAAGAATTGTCTGAAAAAAGGAGCAAGCTTTTCTTGTTAAAGAGCTCTAGCAGAGCAAAACTACTGCCACATAATCTAAGAGTATTAATTTCTAATCTCAGGTAGAACTTTGAAGTCTATACATAGTAGAATCGCATGCTATAGTGTATGCCAATTTCCTTATTTCAACTAAGGTGGTTAAAACCCTGAACTTCATGGTTGTGACTTGTTCTGTTGCTTGTCATAGTGGTTTTGTTTAATTCTTAACTTAAAAGCTTCCTTTCTTATCTAGTACCTTATAATATGGCTATCCCAGGAGAAAAAATAAACAAACAACAGTTTAGTGGAGAAACCTGTAGGCTTCTCTGACTTCTGTTGATATATTGAGATTCTTTACTTCTCTGCACACCCTAACAGCTTTGTTACGCACTGGGGAACAGAATGTATGAAATTTGTTAGCTACCATGAAGTTATCTTCAACATTACTATCATACTTACAGTGAAAGTGAAGCTTATTTATTAGACTAAAAAGTACAGCTTAAGAAAGTGGCTAATATAGAGATGTGTATGGAAAACAAGTCAGTGTACTGTATTGCCTCTCCTGCTCTACTTTGACTCTAAGTTCCATTCAGCCAGCAGATTTCTGTTTCATTATATCCTAGGACATTCTTGTACATCTTAAACTTCACTACCCCCAGTTCCATTTAATCTCCCTTCTTCTCACTGGAATGCTTATTGAGTGTTAATTCATAATCCAGATTCCTACAACTTTTGAGTATCAGCTTGCGTCATCTTTATCCTCTTGAGTCTGTTGTGTAAAGTTGGCTTTGAAACACCCCTCTCTGCTGGGTGGCCTCTTGCAGCTTAATGCTTGTGGGGGAAGAAGGGTTTTGCCCAGCGTGACTATAAAATAGCATCTTTACTGACTGCAAGTAGTTTGTTGTAAATGAAATACTTCATGCTCGTGGGCAAAAGTATGTTCTGCCATGTAAATTATATTTTGTAACATACTAGGCTTGAAGTTTATTTTTCTAAACCTAAAAGCAATGAGTCTCATCTTGACACAGGCTAGACATGATGGCGAAAACATTTAGAGATGATTGTATTTGGAGTAAATGATCTATTAATATTTTCTCCTTGAGTGGTGATACATTCAGAATTCAAGTTTCTTCCCCAGCAGTGGCTGCTGTGAGGATTTCTGTGTAGTACTTACATGGGCATGTTTACACTGACATGTACAGTAATACTAGGCTTAAGTGAGTTGGCTTAAATACCAGAGGCAATATTGCTGTGATACTGAGTTCCTACTACACGAATGTATATTGTTGAAGTTGTAGCCATCTCCTCTGTCATCTGTTCAGGCTCTTTTTTCAGTTAGAATTAAATACCTAAGCTGAAATTAGTTGGAGATAGTTCTGCTAACGTGAGACTGAGCTGGCGAAAATATTAGTGTGTATTTGATAGTCTAAGAACCTGTTCTCAGGTTGACATGGTAAAAAGAGGTAATTGGCCTGAGGCTTTCATACTACACCTGCTTTCTTACAGCACTGCATCCTTGTTTGTTTTAAACCCCTCCCTCATAAATTACATGCATACAATACAGGACTAGGAAACTATTCTGTTCTGAGCTGTGTAACATACTTTAGTATCTGGAAAAGGAGGACAGCTAAGATCCTGTGACCTACCAGCTCTCTGCAAATCATTATATGTACTATGAGTGGTATTGCGGTACACTTACCTCTGGACAAGGTCCTGAATTATCCTGGTCTGACCTTGTGTTTCAGACTAGATGACCTCTGCAGGCCCCTTCCAACCTTAATTGTTCTGGCTAATAAATCTGTCTCTAACACATGATTTGGGAGTGTGGTAAGTGTGGACTCAGTACTCCAAACTGATACTTTTGGGCATGACTTTATCTTGTTTTCTTGTGGATTTCTGTTGTTAGCCCTGAGACTTCAGCAATAACAATTACTGCCATTTCCGTAACATAAAGTTACAGAATGACGTGCTCTGTCATCGGCCAAATGTCATTTTAGAGCAGCAGCAGGATTGAGGTTATATGAAAGGCACAGATGTGGCAAATTAGCTCCATAATTTAACTTTGCTTTACTGAGATTAAGTGTAATGAGCCCATAGGGTTTAATTTTGGACACAAGTCCTAAATATTGTATTTGAACTAATATTTACAACTATTTATAGAGAATAGCAAGTACGCAATAGAGCAAGGGCAAATCTGAAATGGATGAGCACACTGTTTATGTAACTCTCTAACTCCTTATGTTATGAGGAGAAAAAGCAGCCAATGATTGCATATTATTACTGAAAGAAACAAAAATACAAGGGAATTAAATTATTTCCCTGCATAGCTTCTAGTCAGCTTACTGGAGCTCTATAGAGGTTATAGTTTGACGTCTAATACACCTGTACTAAGGACTGATAAATACCTGAATTTATACTAATTAACACATTGATAATTACTTGGACCTTTACTTATTTCCCTTGGCTGGTATGAAGTTTACTCTTGTAACAACAGTAGGGATACTGTTTGATGTATGGGCTTGTTACTTCTGTGTGTCTTAAAATTATCTTTCTGCTTTGATGGATTTGGAGTAAAGGCTCCAAAGTCAGCAGGATTTTCCCAAAAGGTGGTGAGAATGTTCTCTTGAGCCCACTCTTCCCTTTTTATTTGCTTCCTAATGTGATTAAGATGCAAACAAAGAAATTGCTAATGGGCATGGAAAAACAGGGTACGTTCTGTCCTTAAACTGTAGAAAAAAAATTGGCTTTATTCTTTATAATAGTAATGTGTTGTACTGTTTTTTGATTCTGTGTTCATGCTTCATTCTAACAGTCTTTTTTTTCTTCCTTTTTTTCCTTTGAGTTGATATCTGGTATAATTTTCAAAGTTATTTTCATTTTTTTCATACCCAGTGCATTATACTTTCTTTCTAAGCTGACTGCAGGCTCGGAAGCACCAGCCTGCCTTTCCAGTAACAAACATAACTCTCAAACCCAAATGCAATATAGTATTCCCTTTTAGGGCAAGGGCCACTTAAGAAATGCCTTGCTTCTGGTTGTGTTCAGCAGCTTGTGCTGATAGGGTTAGGTCTCTTCTGTCCTAATAAATGGAACTAAAGCAAAGTCCATATTTGAATCTTGGTGAAACTAGTCGTAGTGCCCTGTTTCAGAGGTCAGTTGTTGCCTTAAAATAGTGTGAAATATACTTTCTACAAACTAAGCCCCCAAACTAAGAATTTCTGGGTTAACTTGTGTATGTGATATTTTTAAAAGTGTAGTGTAACTGTGTGTCTCTTCTCCATGCTGCCAGGGATGAGGGGAGACTCGTACTTCTTTGGAATGCGAAGCCTTGGTCACTATGGCTGCATCCCGGAAGATGGAGGACAGTTCTTACTCTACTCTCTAAATGGGGACAATGATTTAAAGAGGTGTTTTGCAGAAGAAGACTTTCATGAAATAATCGACTTCAATGACCTCCCGAATTCTCTCTTTGCTTGTAATGTTCACCAGTCTGTGTTTGAAGATGAGGACAGTAAGGTACGGTGTCGGTTTCCTTATTTTCAATGTAAAAGAAACGTATGCCTTATGTTTGTGTTTACTGCAGTTTCAATGAAACAGATCAATAGTTTAATCTGTTTTGTACAAAGAAACTGGATCACAAATATGACTTCTTCCTAAGGTGACAACAACACTCTGCCATAATGTTTATTTCAAGAGTTTAAAAGCCTTTTTGTCAACTATGGTGAACAAAAAAGTTTTTCTTTTGCTCAGAATTGCAGAATACTGAAATATGGGTACATATCTTCATAGCAACCATAGTTGCAGTCATGATGGAGGTGGCAAAGTTAATCATGTGAAAGTGTCTCCCACTTGCTGATCATGTACCACTGTGATGGGAGGCTGCCTTTCTTCTATTTTCTCATAGAATCATTTAGGTTGGAAAAGACCTTTTAAGATTGAGTCCAACTGTTAACTTAACACTGCCAAGTCCACCACTAAACCATGTCCCTAAGCACCACATCTTCATGTTTTTTTAAACGCCTCCAGGGATGGTGACTCAGCCAGCTCCCTGGGCAGCCTGTTCAGTGCTCAATAACCCTTTCAGTGAAGAAATTTTTCCTAATGTCCAATTTAAACCTCCCCTGGTGTAATTTGAGGCCATTTCCATTCATCCTATCACTTGTGAACTTGGGAGAAGAGACTGACACCCACCTCCATACAACTTCCTTTCAGGTAGTTGTAGAGAGTGATAAGGTCCCAAATATTTTAAGTTACCTGAAATACTCTTTTATCTGGAAAATCTAAGATGAATGATAGTGAGAGCAAAGACAAGAAGAACTGGGTGAGAATACTTTTAAGTCTGCAGTTAGTCTAAAACAGAACGTTGAAAACAATATCCTCTTCAAATTAAAAAAAATAAATAAAAATTCAAGTTTTGCAGGAAGTGTTCAGTTCCTGTTTCTTAGCGTAGGATTCTTCCTGGTGAAGAAGTTGGGAATATAAAACTGACAGCTTGGGGCTTTGATGAAATTAGTCTAGGCTAATTGTTATAGGCACATCTGAGGTTACTTGAGTGTCTTGTCCAGAATTTTCAATTTGGAAACAAGCTGGCAAGTGGTAAAGTGGGTTTTGGCTGGAACTGGCTGATGAAGTATCCAGATAAAACTACAGATTCACTGGAACCAAAGCTGGCCTGGATGGACAAAGGGTCTTTAATGGGGAAATTACCAGATGAAAGGGAAATAAAACAAGACTTCTAAGGATACATGCTTCCTGTTAAAGGTATTGAAAGAGGTATCTGTTGAGGCTCCACAAGAGGAATTTTTTGGGTTTAAGTTTTTAGGCATCTTTGTCTTCCATAATGATGTCTTGTGTATGTTTGAGTAATATAGATTAAAAGAAAATAAAAGTTCATACTACAGCACTAAAATGGTGCACCAGTCTATTGTATTTAAGTCTTTTTGCTAATAAGCATCTTGCACTTATGTTGTGCCATTTTGTAGAATTTTGTAACCATCTGGTAATGAACTGCACTAAATATGAAGGGGTTTGAAAGTCCAGTTTTAAAGGAAGAAAATGGAAGCCTGCCTAGAACTAGAGAATCTCTCTTCATCCTTTAGAGATTCTATCCCCACTTGCTCCTGAGCTTTCCCTTTTGAGAGCTGTATTCTAGGATTTAGCTGATGGCTTAGTTAGAAAATGGAATGGGCGATTATGTAAGTATGTGGGATAGCAATCCCCAAAGACTTGCGGGACTTAAGGATGTGTCTTAAGAATAGCAGCTGGGTTGTGAAGGTGGATATTCTGTTCCATGTGCATGTCTGTAAACTATCTGTCAATAACATGGATTGCTCTGTTTGCAGGTAAGTGGTTACTCCTGTAAGTCTGTATTAAACTAGATGGGATTACCTTCAGATTTCTCATTAAATCCAAGGACCTGGGGAGCTGATTATGATTTTTATTATTCCTGTAGAACATGTACTTGTGCTCCCAGTTGATTAATACCCGTAATCCTTTCTATTATTAACTGTTGCTGCAGGATAAGAGCACGCATGAATTCAATATAAAATATTGTCAAGATACTAAGCTAAAGTTCAAAATCTCACAGAATCACAATCAATAAATGCTGCTAACACTCATATCTTCAATTATATATTGATCCAATGTATATGTAGTGGTACACTAAACTTCTTAAAGAACATACTACAGTAATGTTTATAACTACAGTAGTTCCATGGTGTTATCCATTCTACAGAAAGTAAAGTTTTTGCAACGTATCTTTTGACATTTATTCTTGACCTACACTTTTAGGAGGAAAATGGAGGTATGATTGGTTTGGAAGTTACAAGTTAGCTAGCAACAAAAGCCAGAGAAACAGGTCATTGGAAATGGTTGTTTTGATTTGGTGTGTGAACTTGCTGTGTAAATAATATTTAAATATATAAACTTCTGAGCGGTTTTGGCATGCAACAGTATTAATGTAAAGAATTCATGCTGACAGCTTTAAAGTTACGTTACCTGAAGTGTCTGAAGAGGCTGAACTGTCAAGTTCAAATTTTTAACACACAAATATCTAAGCAATATACTTACTAAAGATAGGTTTTTGAAAGCAAATGCCTTAAATATTTTTGTTTTAATTTGAAGGCATTTAACTACTTTGTATCAGATATAGGGTAAATTCCAGTTTGTGCATGAATATATGGGCTTGCACCAACCCTGAGGGAACACTTTGCTGCACATACACCTGCACTGTGGATAAGCTGACTTGCTTTGTCTGTTCTTACTGCATCCTGTATCAGATATACTCTTTCACCAATATCATGTGGCTGTACAGCCCTTCTTAGAAGGGATTCTGTGTTGCCTACCAAGAGTGATGATGGCATCTGTAGGGAGCCTGAGTTTGGACCTTCATTTTCTGAAGATGAGGAATTCTTGCAGCTGAAGGCCATGTCCTTTACAGACAAAGAAACTGTATCAAGTCAGGCTTGAGTTTTCTCCTGGCTGGCACCTTAAGGTCTCAACATAGTGAGTCTGAAGAGTTGTGGGCTCTGGGATCTGAGGATGAGTGTTGCCATCTGGCTTAAAGGAAGCTGCTCCAGAGTGACTGCCTGATCTTAAAACACTGGTGGAAGAAAGGGGAAATACAAATTATTACTATCTACGCGTATCTAATTTTGCTACAGGAACAAAGCATCTGGTCAAAAAATATTTCCCTACCTTTCAGACCTGTGTTCTTGGAAAGAAATCTCTACTTAGGTCAGGAGAATGCCCTGGATAGCTAGGCCGATAATACGGGCATTTAAGGATTTGCACAGGATGGCTTAGCAGCTTCAATGCACTAACAGCTTGCTACAACTCAAGGGAGGTGGTTTGGCTTATCTCTCTGCTCCCATCATGGACAGCCTGCTCCTTCATACAGAAAATGAAATTGTGCCTTCTTTACAATGTGGCTAGAAAATGTTGAGCTTTTTAGTTTTTAAGGAAGAACAAAGGCATGGAGAAGTAGATTATCCAACAGGCCTGTTGCAAAGCTGGGATCACATTCAGCTGTATCCCTATCACTGTCCTGTGTTCTGATCGTTTGTTTTGGCATATAACCTGTTAATGGTAGGGGCAGATTTTTGGGGTTTTTTGACTGTACAGCACTGATTTGCTTGGGTCATGGAAGTCTTATTGTAGAGAAGCTAAAAATAAAATTATTCCTAAACCCTGGGATTTGCCACATGTCTCTTGGAAAAACTGATGGGACTAGTTACGTGAGCAAGATACGGCAAAATTGAGACTGTTATTTTTGGCTAAAAGTGTGACTGAATGGGAGGTGCTACTCCTTTTATCTCTCCTGATAAAGCAACTGTGGTGGTGAGCCAAAGGGTATGACTGATTACTCCTAAGGGTATATATGTGTGTGTTTTAACAGTTAATTGCTACACGTAGTCCTCAGGCTTTCCGGATAGTAACCCTTTTGTTGTGCTTTTGTTATGCATATATCACTGTTTTGTAAAACCATCCTTTCTGTAATATGACTGTGCAGTTTCCTTCAGGCTGAAACTGGTAAGCACACTGTCAAAGTGAAGCATCTTTGTCTCTTAAGATGGTTCCTTCAGATGCCTCAGGAAATGCTTACACAAAACTGTCACTATTAGAATATGCTTACGTGAGGGAGGGATGTGTTTCCTCCAGCTGTTTAGAAGCTGTATGCTCTTCTTTTTTCTGCTATTTTGGCTCAAATTGGAAGGAGCACCTATTAAATTTAGTAGTTATATTTCAGATAAAGAATGAGTAATCGGTTTCTGAGCATTTCAGTTATGGTGGAGCTGCCTAGGAGTCAGAGTCCGTTAAGTGCTTTTTCTTGCCAGTGTAACTCAAACCAATAGGAGATGATATTATTTCTGTGTGAGAAAATACAGTGACCAAACATGTGTCCAGTTCTGGACTTCCCAGTACAAGGAAGACATGGACATACTGGAGAGAGTCCAGTGAAGGGGCATCTTATCAGTGTGTGTTAACACCTGAAGGGAGGGTGCAAAGATGTCAGAGACAGGCTCTTTTCAGTGGTGCCCAGTGACAGGACCAGAGGCAGTGGGCACAAACTGAAGCACAGGAGGTTTCTTCTGAACATCAGGAAACAGCTTTTTACTGTGAGAGTGACTGAGCACTGGCACAGGTTGCCCAGGGAGGTGGTGCACCTCCACCAAGGTCTTCAAAATCTGTCTGGACGTGGTCCTGGGCAGTTGGCTCTTGGTTCTGTGAACATATGTTGAAATGTATCCTAATTCTTCTGATGAGGAGGGTCAGTGTGTGAATGCAAGATTGGGGAATGAAGATGATTAAAAATACATTTCCTGAACTGTGAGCTTAGTGGAAGTGGGGTGGGGAAGGGAGGAGAAAAGAAGTCAAACTAGCAAGTCAATGGAAAAGATAATTCTATTTTAATGGAAGGACTTTATTATGAAAACAGTTACTATTTCATGAGGGATTCTTTCACATTACAACTTTATTTACATATTGGATGACTACTTGCTTGTACTACAGAAGCC